CATCAAACCATGATATTAAGGTATAGTAGCAAGCCAATAAACCTAATATGTGCAGCAGAAACATTTTCTAATAAAAATAAGCCGCATATGCATCTTTTCCTCTTATAATAGAATGCCTTATATTTATTTGATAGAGCAATTAGCACAATTTAACTAATTTTCTCTTTTAAGAGCCAAAATTGCTTTGACTATGCTCTTTAATAAATAGTTTTTTGTTGAATTTGACACTATCTGTCACCAAGGTTAAATAAGGGCAATGTTGCCTACTGGTATTACAATGGAAAACTTTAATCTAAATTCAATATTGTTTTAAAGACAAATTGCTCTAATTAGATTGAGATGGTAACATGACTGATCTCTCAAGAAGTAAATTAGCTGTCTGTGTATATGCAGAAGTTTAGCAAATGTCTCATTAGAGATGTTAACTCACCTCAAATCAAGCAACTGGAGTTAAAAAGCCTCAGTTTGCTCCTAGTTAAACTATCAGTAGCAGAGTTTCTCATTTGCAGAGAATCAGATTCTTCCCCGGTCTATTGTTCTTCTTTCTGTCTATCTTTCTGTCTGTTTGTCTTTCTGCCTTTCATGATTTAAATTTAAATTTAAGTGTAAGATGGTACCAAGGAAAAAGAATATATCAGTGCAATGAGATTACTATTGCAGTGTGTTGTATCCCTAATGCTCTGCCCGAGCTGATGAAGAATGAGCTTTCTTTTGTGGTGATCCATAATGAAAAATTCAGTCAATGGAAGAAAAAAAAAAAGGGAATTGCAATGGGAGAAGGAATATAGCTGAATTTGTTGGTTATAAGTTTAATGTGCTTTTATGATTGAGTTTTGGTAGTGGATGACTGTTTAAAAATACCTTAACAATCAGCTCTCTGATAGTTCTTCAAATATGCCAAAAATCACCATCACATCTATGTATGTAACTTGCTGAATAGATGATAAATTGGCTGGCAGACTAATCAAAATAGAGCCTTGGTGGAGAAAGAGTGAGGAGATTTTCTTGAGTTTTTAGTGAACATTATACCTGAATCCGAGTATCTCTTCAATCTACCTTGGGTCAGAGGATGAGAATCAATGGAGAATGTGACTCCAAATCTTCTGAGAAATGAGGTGAAGAGGGCAGCAATGAAAACAATTTTGAAATCAAATTGCTGTGGCGTTAAGAGATACTGATAACCTGTTAATGCTTCAACAACAAAAAAGCAGATAAGCAGTGCCACCCTGTCCTGTCTTTTCTTTGTCATCACGTAAATAAAGAAGCATCCTTATCTCACCGGATATTTAAAATGCTTAGACATTCGGGGACAAAAACCAGAAAGAGCAATTCAAGTGACATTCACAGTGGCAGACAGTCAAGTGAGACAAGGCTTTGGCAGGGAAAGACATTTTGCAGGACACCCAGCTGTTGTTATTCCTTACCTCTCCCAAAATCTTTTCAGGTTAATAAACCTTAGCAACACTCCACATTAATATTGATATTAACATTCATCCCCTTTTGCATTGTCTCAATAACATTCATAATAGACTCAGTCTATAACATCAAATTAAATGATGCCACTGTACAGGTGGCACTGTGGGGCTATGACTGCCAGAGGGCCATTTTCTAAATTGCAAACAGATTAGCTCCAACTCTGCTGGTCAGTTTAGTTGACCTCAGGGATAACTAATCCTGTGGCGAAACTTAGATCCCTCATACACCTTCCTTTGCAGTGCCCTCTCGGAGCTGCGTGCATTGGGAGCATAAAAATAACAGCAATTGCCAATATAACTCCCAATCTCTAGGTTCGGCTCCAGCCTCTATGGCAAACGGACTATGTGACCTTGGACATTCACCTAATCTCTCCATACATTATCCTCTTTTCTCTTTTGTCAGCTTTGATTGTACTCTCCCAAGGGCAGAGGCAGTCTGCTATTAGCCTGTTGCTTATCGCAGTATGAGGGTAACCAGGAACGATTGTTATGCAAAGTTAATTATGAAGTGAAGTTATTAATACTAAAAGACTTATACTGGCAGGAATTTAGCACTTAACGACTATTTCTTGTTTAAAAATGTATTCCCTGTTTATTCACTTTCATAACAATTTGAGGCAAAAGAGCATAGAATTGAAGCTGTAATTGAGGGGGATTGGCTGAGCTTTTCACTGGGCCACCAAAATCAGTTGGGACTATATCTCATGCTTGTAGGACTGGGCCTAAAAGTTTCATCATCTAACCTAGAACTTAAGCACTATCTCAGCTGTTTAAAAGAAGTTACACTGTGGTCATAAAACTGTCAAACGGTGCCTCCAGATTCCCTTCCCTGTCTGGAAAGGCAGCAGTTCAGTGGATTATCACCACCTTTTCAATCATCAGCAAAAGCTGTTCTCCTCTTTCAGAGGTCTTTCCCTGAGCTTCTGACAGGATTTGACCCTGGTTATTTATCTGACTGCCAGTTTTTTGTGTTTCCCTGAACCCATTTCTACAAAGACCAGAAGAAATCCAAAACTAAAAATATTTTTATAGGCACAAACTCTTGAAAGATGGGGGGAGCATCACGGTGTTTGGAGCTTTGTTGGATGCACTTTCCAATGACTCTATTTCCCGACATGTCACTGTTGTGCAGCCGAATGTATACTGCTATGTAATTATTGACAAACATATGGGATAGATGTGAATAAAATGCCAGTCTCGCTGTTTACTCAAGTAAATGTGCAGACAAATAACATTTCCTGGGGCTCTAGTACAGTCAAAAATGTAAGAAATGTTGCTTAGTGGATCTAATGGTGTTTGCAACCTATGACTAGATTATCAGCAAAAGCCACGAGAAATATTAGCAGTGATAAACAATTGCTAGCCACAGCTTGCTCTAGCATTGAGACACATTTTGAAAATAGTGCACCCTCCAAGCTGACCCACTTAATGTTTTCTTTTCTTTGATTAATGCATCTAGCAAATCTTAACTCTTACTAATCTGCTGGCAGTATCTGCAGGGCAGCCAGTGCATTCATGCTCATGATGGGGGAGGCAGTTGTCTATTTTGCAGCTGTAATTCAGCTACATCTTTTTGAAAAGTTAACCACAGTTGGCTTTTTTGTGTGTGCTTTCTGCAATGCAGCCGTGTCTCGCTGGCAGTCAAAAGTGTCTGTAAACTACTTTTTTTTCTGTTGTTCAAGCATTCACTCTGCATCTGGCATCTCTGCAACAGGGACTGTCCAATTTGTGAGTGGGCACCGTTCCATCTGAACAGACGGAGAGGAGTGGAGGCAGACAAAAGATCATATGGAGTAGTCAGCTAAAAAGTGTGGTGAACCTGATCAAGTGGCAGGGATTTTTCTTTATTAGTTTTCTGGGAAAAAAAAACCTTAGCAAATTCCTATACAGTGCAGCCGTCAACACAATTGACAGTAGCATTGCACCCTGAACAAATGTGGGATTTGAAAACCTGAGTTTTGACTCCCCTCTCTGCCTACGATTTCTTGTTTGGGGGATTAAAACAAAAAACTATTATTTTCTGTATTGGGTTTCCATGCCTGTGTCTGAAGTGTATTCAGAAGAACGCTTTTGAGTGGTCATGACATAAGAGCTTATACAAGCAGTATGAAGAACTGATGTCTAATTCTGTAACTCCTCAAAACAGAGAAAAGCTTCTGAATCTTTAAGCTAGCTGCACAGCTGATAAGGCTGGGGTCTGACAGGTAGGTAGCTTAGAAATCAACCTCTGCCTCTGCTTAGGGCTGTGTGATGTAATGTGCAATGTAATCTGGGCACAGAGCTTAAAAAAATGTTTTATGTGGAACTGACTTTTTTCTTTTGTTTTATAATATTTGTTTTGAGCTTTTCCAAAACCTTCCTGTTTTAAACGTACAACTCTGTGTCATAGGGGATAGAAAGTTAAACAAAAAACTAAAAAAAACCCCCAAACTGGCCTCTCTTTCTTGTCTTTTTCATTTCCTTGCTTTCCTTTTCCATCCTAGCCAATTCTATCTCCTCTCTCCTTTGCCCTTCACTAAGCAGGCACAATTTAATCAGGCTTGTTGAGAGATATAAAAGCAGAAATTGAGAAATAGTGAAGAGAAACAATTCAGCATGATTATAGGTTACTAGTGCTTCTCACAGCCAAAGTGAGCTCATTTGGGGGGTAGCTTGTATTTCCTCATGTAACCTATTGGGCCACTGTAAGTTATTAGGTCAGGTAATGTTTTGAGCGGACCAATTAATATATTTTCTTCCTTTCATTTTTTAAAGGATTTTCTTTCTCTTTCCAGAGCTTTTGCAAGGCAGGTCACAAGTTTTTCTCTTAATTGTCTACAAAAATTCCATTTTGATAGGCTGTATTTATCTGGTTTTGCTAGTGACCTAGATTTGTGTGTACGTGCATACGGTTGATATCCCCAAGAAACATTTATTAGAGTCCCTTACATTCTTCATTCTCTAAATTTGACTACCCTGCACAAACTGTGCTCCTTGTCACTGAATCTGATCATTGATAAATGTAGTAGGCTGTGTTTTTATTATTTTTATCACTGCACAACTTCTATTCAGGGAGGCTGCTGGCAGAAATAACCTGCCTGAGCAGAAGAGAAATTATACCCACGCAAAATCATTTTCTGTTAGGATGTCTAGTAGAATCTGTGGCTAATTTTAAAAATATCAGACCCTGGTATATATTAGCCAGGCTCCAATACTGTACCCCAAAACAACTTTTCTTGAAATGAGGTCTAAGCTTTTTATTCAACCATATAAATTTAGAACCTGGGATTAAAAACAACAACAACAATGAAAACACCCCCAAAATCCAGGTTTCAACAGAGCTGACAATGCTTGTCCCTTCCTTCCTGTTAGGGGTTATCAGCGAGGACCCCGTAGTGAGTCTGAAATGCGGCATATTTTAAAGTTCTAATATTGTGTCTCTTGATTTTTTTTTTAATGAGATTCTTCCAAAATCTAAGTGTTTTTTTTTCTTTTAGGTCTTCTGCAGAGAAAATATTGAAAATGTAGCTTGAATGTGTCTTGCAGGCTCAGAAACCAGACCTGCAAATGAAATCAAGCTGAAGCTTTTTAGGAAATCTGTCAGAGTGGAACCCATACTTCATTGAAATCAAAACTACTATCTACTTCACAAAGATAAGTCTTCATCTCAGATGATTAGGCTGAATTTATGACTCCTGCGGGTTGTGCATGATTTTTGAATGCGCACATGCACGTGTGATTTTTGAACGCTCTGAGCTGATGCTGTGTTCGTAGGTCCTTTAAAACATTTCCTTCAGTTTTTCAGCTAGCCAGAAGAAAGAATTTGCCCTTCAAAACAGAATGCGAGGAAATGTGCTACCCACAGATCTTGACCCCAGCTTCATATCGCTCTCATTTTATATAGCTATGGGGCAACTGTTGCAAATGGCAGTGGAGTTATCTTCCCTTCCACAGGCTCGGAGGCTAGACACTCTTCTTTTAACTGGAAGAAGGTTTTATGGCTCTGTAGTCCAGCAAGTCTGCTGAGCTCCTGTGCCTTTCCTCTTAATTTCTTAGGACAGCTTTGCAAGTGGAATTTGTAATTGTATCTGACTGTATTTTGGTATGTGAGACTCTGGTAATTCCATGGCTTTTGAACAGCTAGTGTCAAAACTGATATGCAGGAACAATTAATATAGATTTGATACATTGGCATTATGTAGCATACCAAGCATAACTGATTTTTAGAGTTATAGTGTATTATTCTTCTTAGCTGCTGCATGTCTCTCCATAAATGAACATGTAGGCACTAGACTCCAAAGGGATCTATATTTTTTTATATACATATGTATTTATATCAAGGTGCATTTTTCTTCATTCCTATATATTTCCATCAGTTCCATCCACATATTTTCCAGGTAGCTTCAGATTATAATGACTTCAAAATTCTATTTTATTTTTATTGAACTGATTAGAGAATGTGCAAAATCTGGAAAAGGTACTACATTGAGATATCGATTGTTTCTTATATGTAACTATATAAATGCAAGTATCCAAGAAGTCACTACAGATTGTAATAACATTATAATAGCTTTCATTCCAGAAAGAAGTTTAGCAGCAAAGATGAAAAAGTATTTAAAACTTTGTTGATATGTAGCCCGGGAAGTCCTGCCCACTAAAGGGAGATTTTGATATGTTGTATAGATACAAGTCTAAAAATATGAGGATATTTTGTTTCTCAGTTATTCAAAATAAGCAATGTCTCCTTTCAGCCCAGCAGTGTCTTGGCTTGGACCCGTATAGGAAGATAACTGTGGTCAGTGCTCGGCTTGCTCCTTTAAGTGGGGAACATGCTGTGATTGCTTGCTTTGACTGGGCCATAAAGATGCTGCTAAATTATGTTGGCTTACAGGTAAGAAAGGAACCCTTACGTACCCTTTCTTGCACCATGCTTTTCTGTATTAACACATATGCAGGGGAATAATAACAGTACGCTGCATTTGTACATGATGCATAAAAGGCAGGAGCTGGCTCACAGGACTTTTGCATGCTGAAGGGTTTCTTGACGTGAACTACCAGCCTGGGCAGTTCAGTTTCACACATTAGCTGTTTCTTTTTTTGTTAGTTAGTCTGTACTTGCTACTCAGCTGTTGTCATGTGCAAACCTGGTTTATTACAGTGTGAGAAATAGAAGATTTTTTGAGTGTTGGATAATAACTGAAAAAATGCAATCATTCCTTATGAAAAGAGAATTGGATGTGTGAGAACTGCACCTGGAGGTTAGATTAGAGGCAACAGAAGGCATCTGGTCTGGCACTGGATGTGAAAGTGCTGTGGTAAAAGATATAACTGCTTTCCTCTGCTGGTGACAGCAGCCTTCAGAGATGCTTTCAGAAGACTGATGGGTGATTTTGGACTAGAAGCCAGATATTTGTCTGTGTCGGTAACTGCTAGTGCTGGGCACATGGGGCACAAAGAGAGCAGAAAGGAGATTCTGTCCAGCTTTGTCCCTAGTGCAAGGCTATTGCCGGCCTGGGAATAAACTGTCAAGGGAATAAAGTGAGGATGTTCAGTAATTTACTCCGTTCCAGCTGTGGGGAAGAAATGGTGCTGAATTTGACCTTAGGTTACAAACTGAGATAAACTTAAGATATCAGGAGCACATCATGAGCCACAGTTGTATGTTATTCGGGGCTGTTTATGAAGCAGCGCATACTGCAGAAAGATACATTGGCTGCAAGATGTCTGGTAGTGATTTTAGCAGTACGCTTTTCCAATAGTGGTCTTGGCATGGACTAGAAAGGATTCAGCTAGGGGAATTGGCTCTGCAGTTTTGACAGAAGAAGGGGGAGGAAATTTGATGTCTTGTCTCAGAATAAGCTGAAAGCACCTTCTTCGCTGAAGGAAGGGGAATAACTGCAATAAGGATATTTCAGTTCGTGAAGGTACTGATGAATGTGAAGAGTATGGTAACTTTCACAACCCATTTTGGAATAGTATCCATTTATTTTGACTGTCAAAAATGGTCTAATGAAAGACTGAAGGCTCTTCTGAGGCATCAAAATTCAATGATGTAAATATACTAAGGTGAGGTAAATATACTAAGTTTTTGTCATTTCTCTCTCTCTCTCTCTTTTTTTTTTTTTTTTACGAGCAAGAGACTTAGGCTACACAATGTCTAAGTATAGCATTGTTCATTTTGTTTATATGCAAAATTTAAGGACTTGAGGGACTTGTTCCCCCTAAGCCAATTCATACTGGCTTTGTTTCTTTTAAGCTGCTATTGGATGGAAGTTTTGCATCGGAATCACTGGATAGCCTTCTTATATTTATGAAGGGAGGGCATACGTGATCACTGTGAAAGGTGGAAAATAGTATAAGAATTCAGGACAAAGAGACAGTAACAAGTAAAAGAAGGGTACCCTTAAGGTAAATCTACTGCAATTGGAGAGAATGAAACAAAGAGTCTGAAAGAGGCATTGGTGGGCTTCACAGAAACAGTCTTCCAGAATATGATGGGTCAGATGGTGCCTAAACTGCATATCCACCAGTACATTTCTCCAACAGGAGATAGTAATCATTTGACTGCTATTAGGGGAAAATTAACAAAAGGGAAATACAACAGGAATTAGCAAAGAAAAGTAAGCTGGTACATTTGGCAGCTGGTGCCTAGTGCAGGTTACAGTTCAGTAGGTAATTTGGTTGTCTGGCGACCCAGAAGTAGAACCAGAGTAGGAGGAAGCATCTTCCAACAATGCTGGGGATTGGGGACAGAGTTTCTTAGGATTTCCCTACCTCCCCGTAACGTTCAGTGCAGCGAGGAGGCAGCGTCCTCTTCATCCTCTAACTTTTGCTAAGTTTTTGGAACGCCTTAAAGGGCTGAGATTAGGATAATGGGATGGAGGTTGACAATGGAGCTACAGGAAGGAAAGATGACCTGCACTGGATGAGTTGTTGCCACACAGTTCTCACATTCAACCCTTCCTCTAGAAGTCAATGCCAAAGTACTTACTCATTTAAATGGAAACAATATCTGAACTCAGTGCACTTTTACTACCTTGTATATGATTTGGTTAACATTCTTTTAATATTTTTATCCAGACAATAACAGCAGCTTTAACAATAGAATTTCTAAATTCTAATCTAGCTTTTATGTGCAATAAAAAGGAGTTGGAGATTATTTAGTATTACTTATAAATAAAACTTTTGTGTTTCATCTTTTTAAGCAGTTTGCCATGTAATGGTGATACCCTTGAAAACAAACCAGCTCTACAAACAGTAAGTGGTAATAGTAAAAGCACTTTCAGATTCAGATTGTTTCCCTTCTTACAATGAATAGCCTGAGAAGGCAATTGCTGTGTAGATTGAAGAAGCTGAATTCCCCTTAAGTCTGGCTAGATTTCTTCTGAATATGATTACTATTTTTTTAAAGGTATAACTGCTATTCAGGACTTTATTTTCTTGAATGCTGCTTTTTAGGTAATGAAAAGAACAATATCATTCATTAGTTTATGGAGGATAATGTAAGCAGCAGAAGCCTAGGTATGAAAAATATTTGGATTTAAATAAGTAGAGGTTGTCTTTTGTCTGTGGAATCTGTGTAAAGTAAACTGTTTTTCAGTCTGAATTAATGTGCCCTTTCATTCTCCACCTACTTACACTGGATGGCCCACTTTTCAGGACATGCAGTAGCAATAAATTGGTGCAGTTTACAGGGTTTTTTTTTTCCCCCAGGGCAACTCCTATTTATTAATTCCTATTTCTCTTTTCAAGGTATTTGTTCATTCTTGCCATTTTCTGTTTTTGTTGATACCATCCCATACCGGCCATCATGCACATGGGATCAAAAAAGGAAATGAGGAAGAATATATTGCTTCCTACTGCTATGGATATCAACTGTAATTGAAGATCCAGAGGCACCTGAGAGTTCTCTTTCTTCACTTTGTACTCCCTGATCACTGATTTAAAAGGAAGAGAGATATGATTACACATGAAGCATGTAAGAAGCATGTAAGTGAGGGGCTGCATCCCATCCTGGCTCAGTCCGGTGGTGGCTCACCGCAGCAGTGGCGTGTCAGGCAGCTCGCTGAGCCGAGGCCCTGGGCAGATCCCCAGCCCCTGTGGTGGCAGTGTGCCTGCATGGTGCTCCAGCAAGCAGGCACTATAAAACCGGGAATAGAAAATAAATTTACCTAGGCACTGGGTGCCCTTACAAGGCCAACGTCCCCGTGGAGTTGGAGGGAAGAAAGGGGTGCCTGCAGGGGTGACGAACCAGAGCACTGCCATCACATACCTGAGAGAGTATCCTAGATATTCAGCCCAGCTTCCGCCAGTATAATACGACATCCCTGCAAAGGTTAATCAATTTGAATGTTAATATCATTTTTATTTTTCAACTAATTTCTTTCAAATGTTTGGTGCACTCTTGTCCTCACCCAGGATTAACAACATGACAAGTTTGAACTTTTAAAAGCAAGACACTTTGGATTTATTGGAGAGCAGAAAAAGGTCACAATGCTTTGTACAAAACAGAAACATGCAGATTTCCGGGCCATAATTTGCCAGCTTTTCTTGATAATTTCTAAAGGAGTATGGAGAGCAAATGGGTCAAATTAAGAGGAGACTGCTCTACAGTGAAAGTGGTGATCAGATAGAAAGAATAATCCAGGTAGATTGACTCTTACAGGCTTGTTCTGGTTGCCATAACATCATAAATTCTTTTGTTCCCTGAAAAAGAAAATGCACTGGGCTGAATTCACCATTCTGTCTGACTCACTCTGCCATTTTGGCATGAAGTTATTTTTTCAGTTGCAAATAATAGTCACAAAGAAATGGGAAAATGAGTTGGTGTCAGTATTTCCTTGATCAGTGTAAAGCAAAGGAAAACTTACGTATTTGCTTTTCTGCTGTGGCTGCTCTTGTCCTTGGGGATTGCTGAAACTTTAAATCAGTGCCCTAATTGGCACTGAGATAGCCATGAAATATCAGAAGCTTCAAAAGGAGCTTAAGGGAGTAGTTGTTGTCTTTCCCCTGTTCCATCCTTTGCTATCCCACGGCACACGCAGAACAGAGATTCGGGAGGCAGAGCTGTTGGCATTAAATCTTGCTATGTGATTAGCTCAGCCTTTGTAAGACCAGGCACTCCTGAGCCAGGAGCTGACACCAAAGTTATAAACTTGGAGCAAATTACACTGTGCAAGTAAGCCATTGGAGGTGTGACATGATTTGTCCTGGCTCATCCACTAGTGTTTTGGCTGCTCTTGAGGTAAGCCTGCAGAGCTTTTAAGAGTTGTGTTGTCATTTACAGCTTTTAAAAATCGAGATAGCTTGCCAGTAGTTAACCGGTTTACGTGCCCATGGCTTAAGTGGTCAGCAAAGGTGGAATAATAGCTAAAGGGATGAATGTCACTTCAGTGAGAGTAGAGGCAGAGAGAATCCCCACTTTGCAGGTATAGTTGAACATCACTGGTTGCAACTCACTAATTCAGGCTGGCTTGATCGGCTGAACCCTGACTCATGGGTGCCTCCAGCACTTCCCCATCTCTGCAGCCATCATCGTGGCTCATACACATATGGTGAACTTACTGAGTTGTTTGTTTTACTGACATCAAAACCTGTTTTTAAGAGAAAGCCCACTCCTCACTTGTTTACTGGAGAATGCACACTCATAATAGCTATCATATAGCATTAATGGAAATTCTCACTGGTCTGTTCAGTGCTGGTCCCAGAGCTTTTGAATCAATCAGCTCTATTCCCTTGTGCTAACATGACGAAGCAGAAACAGGCATAGCCTGAGCTGTCAGGCTGTTTTAGTCTCACCGGGTGCATGCAGCAGTGATAATGGTAGTAGGAAACCAGGGAAATGGATTTTTTAAACACAAAATATTATGTCCACTCCTAATTTTACAGTACTTAGCACAGATTAATTTCTCAAAGAGAGGGCTGCCATCCAGCTATTGAAAGTTTTTTTGGTGAGCATGCATATGCTGTGCTGGAGGAACTGCAGAGTGGGTTTAGCTGGTCTTCTGTCTCCCTTCCTTCCAGCCAGGCAGAGGGAGGAAAGTGAGGAGTGAGCGCTTAATCTCTTGAAATGCCAAAGGGATGAGAGCAGTTCTCCTTGCTTGTGGTGATATATGTTAGGTTCACCAGAAAAAGGCGAAGCTCCACTTCTGATAGAAAGTAGACGTTCCTTGAAGTTGTGTTGAGGTGGTTCTACTGTACGTTACAAAGCAAGTTGTTGGACACCTGATCACTTCCAGTAAGTTTTAGCAGGTTTTAAATAATCCCCCAAGAATCCTACCAAGCCCCAAGAAAATCCCACTGCCTATGGTAGTTAGATTCACTGGGAGGACATCAGAGAGATGTTTCTCTTGTTTTGTTCTTTCTTATGCAATGTAAGCTGAGCATGAATTTTTAAAGTGGCCATAGCCAAAAATATTGATATCTAAAGAATTTGCCTATTGATACCTAGAGTCTTATTTCAGCGCTCGGAAAAGGGAGACATCTGCACCATGTCCTTTAGAGCCTTTGCTCCAGACCTCCCACTATGGCAATCCCAGGAAGGACTACTTAGAGCAAGGAAGACCTAGCATTTTAAGAGGAAGCCGTAAAGTCTGGTAAGAGAAGCACAATAGTTATAAGGAAAACCAATACCATTCATATGCTGTTGAGACTCTGCTGTTTGGATTAGATTGTTTGCTCTAGGTTTTTAAGTTGTTTTCTTAGAGTTGTATAAGTAGCTATGTTTCCATTTAGGATTGTTCAAGAGTTATGTCATTGAAAAGGAATTTCTATAGGGAGTATGGGATTTTTGTTACGGAAGAGTAGGGAACTCACTTTTATAACATCATTCCAGGAATTTTCCTTGTTTTGTAGGCTTTTCTTTCCTGCATGTGGAAGGCCATTTAGGCACTCCTGGGGTTGTACTCCACAGCAAGCCGTTGACCTGCTGTACCGAGTCTGGCATCAAGAGATCCTTGTGACTGCGCTCCCACGTGACTGCAATGATCTGCAAGCTCGCTAGATTTCTCTACAAACCTCTTCTCCTGCCCGGTTCTTCCACAAAGTGTGTGTGTATGTATATGTGTGTGTATGAACAGATAGAAATCAAGTTAACAGATATAAAGATAAAATAATTAAACATATCAGTAGTGAAAACTAGTTGTGAGAACTACTTACCAGCCCTGATTTAGTCTTTTGTCAATGCTTAACTATCCACATTTTATTATCACTACTTTATTCTCTGAAAAGGGACTTAAGGTGGGTTCTGGGTTTTTTTTTTTTGGTTCCACTAATTTTTTATCAGGTATATTCAGCATGCTAATAATGAGATAGGTTGTTCCTTTACTTTTCAGCTGTGAAAGCTGAGCCTAAACTCAGTTAGGCTCAGTTCCCACCTTTTAATGAATCCCTACTGGTAACAATGGTTTGGCAGGAAAAAGGCCAGTGACACCAGGGCAACGTCATTGACCGTATGGGGTTAGCATACGTGTGACAGAGGGGACCTTGGTAAGCAATTCGGATGGCAACATGACGTAAGGTAGAAGAAATCGAGTCTACCTATCCCTTTGTCTGTGGCGCTCTCTCTTTCACTGTGTTGGCTCTTCCAGAAAAGTAACATCTCTTTTTTTTTTATAAGTGGAAAGTGCCTGTTTCACATAGTCTTTTTCTGAATGACAGCTGCATTTTAGTTCCATGTTCCTTGTTAGAGAAGCACTTTAATAGGTCTAATCAGTGTTAGATTTGGGTTTTTTTGTTATCTGATTATACAGAGATGTATTTATTTATTGTATATCTATATCTATTCTATATATGTATGCATAGGTATATTATGCAGGAGTAATTTCTTAGTTTTATTTCTAAAACTGCCATTTCGGATACTGCATAGTCAGAATAAAGAGTAACTTTCAATTATTAATTACCTTGATTCCATCAAGAAATGTGTGTACATTCTTTTCATAATAGTTAAATACCTTTGGAAGAGGTAATAATATGACAAATGTTGTTCTTTATTAATTAAAAGAAACAGTGCTTTTAACATCGCAATCACAAAATATCTGTGTTATGTTAAAAAAAAAGTTTTACCCTCATTAATGTATTCTGTTGCTGGGAACTTTGTTAAAGACTCTGTGCTCCTTGGCACAGACTGTTGTCTGCTGCTTTGTTAGAAGATATCCATCTCAGCCACGGTAACTTCTTGTCATTGCTCTTATTTTAATCCCCCAAATGTTGTTGGCAGGGTTCTTTACACTGAATAAAGATTATTATTATAAAAATTCCATAATTCTGCCAGTGAGAGTAAGATAGTAAGCCATCTTGGCAGACTAATTTAGGTAACTTTTCAGGTATGCTTATTTAAACAAGGGATGCATGAGAAATGTGAAAAATGCTAGCACTTATCGGAAATGCAAATGTGGCATTTGTTCAGCTTAATATGAATGCCTCTGCACCAGGCAACAACACCAGAAGTGCCAATTAGGATGCAGTCATGGTTCCAAAAATTCACCCTTTCTTTTCAGCTAATATGACATTTATGCTTTTTTTGTCTTTCCAGGAGTGGCTGCGCTTCAGCTACCTGCACAGAAATGCCAGTCTTGCTTGAATTTTATTTTAACTGAAAAGCTGTTATTGTGCCAGGCATCAATATAGGAGTGTTATGCCTGTAATGTGTTTTATTGTGGCTAGAATTTAAAGAGCTGTGCCATATAGGTCAATCAGTGTTACGAATGACAGCAGTTGTTATCTGCTAGTGAGGACAGCAGTATAATAATAATGTTTATTGCACATCATTTTTCAATGATTTTATGCTATCATTTAGGAGATGAATGAAATGGCTCTCTAGCAGACATGAATGTAAATAAATTAAACATTAAGAACCAGTGAGTTCTAATCATCTTTCTTTAAGATTGCACTAAATGGTTGCAATCAGTGAAATAGATGAGAGATTGCATTAAATTGCTGTTCCAGATACTATATCATGCCAGCTCAAACAAGGTTCACATGCATTATAAAACAGCTCAGGTTGAAAGAGCAGTTGGATGCCTCATAGGCATGCATTAGTTGAAAGTAATGCACTGGCCGAGTAACGCTGCTTGCATCCTTCTATATCAATATACATGGAGTGACAAGAAGAAACCAAAACAAATAAACAAGGGAAAACCTTTGATATTTTGTTCCAGAGCTTTAATTTTATTATTGTTTTATATTAAAACATGCCACAGGCGGGAGGCATTAGGCAGGAGCGTAATACTGGTAGCAGCGCTCTCTCAGCTCTTTTCTTCAACCTGCGCTGAGTATTTTAGGACGTTATTGGAAATTCACTGGGCAAGAAGGTGACAGGTTTGAGAGCGAAGGGAGGTTTGTTGCTGTTAGGAGATCTATAAGGAGAGAATTCAGACGCTGTGATATGGGCAGCAGATAGGTAATATCTGAGAAGCTGTCAGCAGGGAACGTTAAGGCTGGGTTTTCAGGAAACGACCTCTTATTCTGCCAGCAAAAATCCTTGCGGTTTGCAATTAAATTGTGTGAGGAGTTCAGTCACAGAGAGGGAAAGACTTCTGTATCCATCTGACCTAAGGTACAGGCACGAAGCTGAACCTGAAATAAGGAAGGCCTCGGGGTCAACAGAGACTGATTGGAAATTTCTCTCGCAAGGCCTTTAACGCGCAGCACAGTGGGCGCAGTTAAAACGGCGATCGTTCCGTCCCTCTGTGGCCAACAGTAGGAGCGAGCGGTGTCTCTTTTTTATTTAAGGGCAGTCTGGCCCCCAAAATAATTCATCAGTGACGGCATACCAGTCCTGGACTGCGTGGCACTGCCTTGGCGGCGGTGCCAGCCCTCGCCCTGCATCGGCTCCTGAGCAAGCGACTGAGCAAATGGCGATGGTGGCATTTCTCAGCCTCTGGGCTCATGTCCTGCAGGACAGCTGTCCTGCTAAGACTATTCTATTAAGAATCAGAAATTCTCCGTAAGCGTTTTTTTCTAGGATTCCCTCCCTCCCTCCTCCAGCAACTCCAGGAGTTGATGAATACTCCTTGCCTTCCTCCTCAGCCCTCTTCCTCCCCGTGCAGGGATTTTTCTCAGCTCACTGCGTAGCGCGTGTTTCGAGAGGGCTTTGCTGCAGCGCAGACAGCAGGGTGGGTGCTAGCAGAGTGCAAACCACCTGGGCTTTGGCACTCACCCCCTTCCCGAAACATGCCTCGGAGTTGCTCTCACGCTCTGCTGAGGCCTGTGGGGGATGTTCGCTGTGCCCTGAACAAAACCACTCCTTTTGGGGAGGTCAAAATCTGGTATTTCAGCTTGTCTGATCGTTGACATCTTCACTTTGATCCATGCTTTTAGACTAGCTTCTGAATCCAGATAACCTGGCACTCAGGTGTCTGATTTGAAGCTTCTTCAGGTTACAAAAAATGCATTCACGTTTCTGTAGTGCTTTTATTAATGGCCGTTCATTGCATTGTAGGTTTGCCAGTTTCATGAGTAACAATGCTTTGAATCTAGACAACCTGGCACTCAGGTGTCCAAATATATGCCTTACGGTTTCTTCAAGTTCAAAACAAAATATTAATATTCCTATAGCATTTTTATTAATGTTCATCATGGCTTTCCCCTTTAATGAGACATGATGAGAACCCTGGGAACAATGGGATGGTTTCTTGTTACGTTTTTGTGAATGAGATATTAATGTGTGATAATACAAGGAAATATCTGACTGACTGACCGACCCCTAAAAGAAGATTTTAACTTTTTCCGTCACTGTGTTCTTTGTCTTCAATGTTTTTATACCATTCCTTACTATACAGCTCACAAACATTCATTTTGGTCTAGCTGAAAAGGATTTGTCAATGATTTTGTTCTGCTTCATACCCTTGTCAGTCTTCAGTGCTGATCAGAGCTTTAGGTGCTCCAGGCACTTGGATCGTGGAAGAAGCTATACCATGCTCGTTAAAAATTTAGCGTTGCTTCTACTCCAGAGATATAGAAACAAGAGGCAGATGAGAGACATGTTTTTCAGCTGCAGTCTTATTTACAATAATGAAACACATTTTTTCCTGAATTTTCATTTTTAATTTTAGTATTCAATATCTATTCCAGCAGGATAACCAAAGATATTGCTGTAACATTGCTTGAGTGTGCCCAGCTGAATATGCTGTTTTTATTTAACTGAAATAATTAGTTTAAGTGCTGAATACTTAAATGTAGTATCTCTTCACCAGAGTAAGAAAAAACAGTAGATGAAAGAAAAAGCTTCTGAATTTGCTTCCTCCTAAGCACCAACCTTAGGTTTTATTCAGTCTTTTCAGTGACTACTTAAATTATAGAGCCCTTTTTTTTGGACTGCAAATTCATTCAGTAGCTCTTACTCAGGAGTAAACTTGGAATCAGCCAGCTCATATCCTACACAAATATTAGAAACAAACACTTGAGTCAACATCTGTGTATTTACCCTGTAATAGCCTACCCTTCACAGTCCAATATCCTTTTCAGAGGCTGACACCAAAATCTTTCTTTAAATGCCTTAAGATCCAATAAAAGAGACCTTCAATAAGATAGCTCTTTCAAGCCACAGCATGAGACAAAAGGAAAAATTCTGTTTTTCCTCATGTCTTATTCATCCGTATGAGTGGGCCAAAATGTATGGCAAGGAGCAGCAAGGTTAACAGAGGAGTTCACCAAATGTTTCACAACTAATGCTGACTCACTCCACAAAGGGGAAGAATTTCATCCTTATATCAGAACTACAACAATAAAGATGGGACCCTCTGAGTTCCCCTGCAACTCCAAACTTTACTTGTGATCATCGCAAACCTTCTCACCACTCAGTGTAGTGTCTGCTGCTTTTAAAATCCTGAAATGCCCCATCTGAAAGTGCTTTCCTGTACCCTGAGGAAATTACTCTCTAAACTCAGACAGTCTTGAAGCTACAAAGGACTTCATTTCACGGGCTTTCTGGATAGGCAGTGGCTGAGGAATGAGGAAGTCACTAGGCAATGTCGCAAAGAAACATCATCTTTATTTGGTAGGTAACGTTTGACCTAGCCTGCAATACATTTTGCCTTTGGCTTTCATAGACGAGACGAAATTTTCAGCACTGATGAAGCTTCTGAGTCTGGTCTCTCACATGTGAAGTTTAAAGACCCTGTAATCCTCACTGAGGTTAATGGTAGATATGAAAGACCTATATGTTAAACTATAGAACTTCAGGTACCCAAGGGGAACTGAGACTTCTCTTATCTTTCCTTAATCACTATTACACTTGGTTGGCCTGCTATCCTTTGGTTTCTTTGGCTATTTGATCTTTTAGTTTATAGGCAAAAGGGTGCAACAGTCTTAGGTATGAGGGCTGGCACCATAACCGGATCACTTGCACTTATACAGATGACAGCTAATTATACTTATCTAGTGAAGGGAGGCAGGAGGGATATTCATAATACTTTTTTTTTTCTTTCTCTCTTCCAGAATTTAACTGGAGAACTTAGAGACTTCCTCTTTCCTTGTATACCTAGTACTGCTCAAATGGAAATCTCCCCCTATCCACTAAATGTTTTCTCATAGTTTGTTCGACTTCAGAGGTTTAATCACTGACCAGGGGAATGAAATCAAAATGATAACAATAGTATGATGTATAAAGCAATTCCAAGATGATTCTGTTTGAATTATTAGCAAATATTTGAAGTACAGATCAGTAGGACACAACACTGGCCTAATGCATGTGGCATCTAAGACTGAGATTCTGACTCAGTGGTTGTTTAAGGCTCTAGCA